AAAATATTTCAAATTGTATATAAAAACAGCACACTATACCCCATGACTGTATTAATGTACACAGCTATGATTTAATAAAAAAGAAAAGAAAAGAAAGGTATATATAGGAAGAACTACTAAAAACAAAGATAATTACATGACAAAGAAGAAACTGGTTGCAGAGTGTAAAGACACAAAAGATTTTCAACAAAACTTCGATTCAGAGGTGTCTGAATTTTGTGCAGCTGCTTTAAATGCTCCTACAAGAAACTAAAATCCTTGTCTTCCTTATTCTTGTGAATTGCCTTTATGTTATTTCCTCTCAAAATGTACGTGTTCATCCAGAGAGCACAGGGACAGAGCATCAGACTCCTCTAAGGATGGCAGAAACCGTGACCAAACAGAGAAGCATTGTTACCACAGTGACTCTTTGCAGAAAATGCAGGTGAACACTTTTAAAAACTCAGTGGCCTGCTCTGTTACACAAAAATCTATTACTTCTTCAGAGGCAGTTGACAGATTTATACCTAGGACAACACAACTTCAAGAGCGGAAAAGAAGGAGAGAAGACGATTGTAAACTTGGAACTTCTCTTGAAACAAGCACAAGTAGAAATGAGGTTATGATTGGGCCTCTATTACCAGACATACCTAAAGTGGACATGCCTGATGACTCATTGAATATAACAGCAAATTTAATTCAGAATAAACTTCAAGAGGTTATTTCATCTGTTCCAAAACCTTCAGAGGATAAGCTGGAAGATGTGCATACAAGTCTTCCATGTAAACAAAGAAGAATATAGATTGCATGCAGCAAGTCAATTATTTTCTAAAGAGAATATTTTTTTATTTTTCACCTATCATTTTAATTCTTCAAGTGATTCTACAGCTGGTGTTTTTTAATGCACTCCTCTTTGTAATTTCATTCAAACTATTGTCTAAAATCATTTATTTTTGATCCATACTTCATATTAACAGAAACTGTTCATGTCATATAACATTATCTCTCACATTGCCATAAATATCTGTAAATTAATTGAAGCTAATATAGAAACTTTACAACAAACACACACACACACAAAGGGCTATGAAGAAAATAAAGCAAACATGTTAGATTCTTGTTTAGCAATGAGAATGTAAGTTCTATAAGATAGTACACATATGGCAATTGTGAGAAAGGCAACATTAAATCAAGTGATCAGCTGTGACATGGGTCTAATACTATCTAACTTATAAAATTTCCAGGAGAAGGCAGCTGTGCCAAAGGGGCCTAAAAGTGTATTTGTGGAAACTACGGGATGAAGAATGGAATCAGGAAAGCTGGCTTTTGTTTGGGAAGACACAAAGGCATTGCCACGAAACAATAGCAAGCAGAATCAAAGGTCTACTCACTTGAAGCTCTGTTGGCAAGAGATCAAGGGTTGTTCCTTCCTCTTCTATACAGATCCCTCCGAGAAAAGAACAGTTTCAAGTAGGCAAAGCTGTGAAAGAAAAATGAGCAATGAGATAGTAGGATTTAATCAATGATTCCCAACACACCACAGGGAATTCTTTCATCTACTCCTGGAATCTACTCCTACTACTTTCCTCACAAGTCCTGTCTACAATTCTACACTCACCGTAGCTTTCAGTAAACAATGAGAATCAAGACACAATCTCAAGATTTGAATTCAGAGCTGTAAGTCTCACATGCTGTGACACTTAAGAAGGGAATTCAATCTATGTGTGTCTAGGATGATAAACAAAAAGCAGAGCCAGCAACAATACAGCGAGCATCTCTCACGACTTAAATCGTGTTTAAGGATTAAGGGAATACATACAAAACACAAGGAATCAACTTCTGCACACCTTTATAGAAATGACTTCACAAACCCCAAACTCTGACATTACCACATAGTGGGTGGGCGGCTATCCCGAACGAATTCTACATATCATCGATCTGCGACTGCCCACACTGCAGTCGCCCAAATTGAGAGATGCTCATCTTAAAGCCAGATCTGCCCTCCTCAAACTGCTCCTTCCAAGCCTGGGGCTGTTTGGCTCTGCCGGCACAGGCCCCGCCCCGCATCCCGACCAGAGATGCTGGGTGCATCCGTCTCCTCAAACCCTTCCTCCAGGCCAGGCTCATAGACAATCGAAATCCCCTGGGTCGATCCAACGCCACAGCCTGCCCCTTTCCCTAGGTCTCAGAAAGCCGACCCTTATTGCGGTGGCCGGGTGAATGACCCGCAAGGAAACGCCCTTTTCTAATGAGCCTCAGCTAGGCTTAAGAAACTAACAAGGTGAAGTGCTGGACCGGAAACGGAAGTGAGCAACTTGGTAGGTGCCAGACTACATTTCCCAGAATCCTCCGTGTCGTGGTCTGAAGGTCAGACGGTGACGTAAGTGAACGTCCACCTGGAATCCTGACAGCTGCTAAACTGAAGGCGGCGGGTACCTTAGATTAAGGTGACCAGATTTTAACATTGGTAAAGCGGGACACCAATGGGGAGGGCGGGCCAGGGGAGCGGGGCCTGACAACAATGCAAACTTTCATAAGCAGTTCTCATACATGGCAGCCGAAAACCGTGTATTCCCTTCTTGTTCTCCGGGGTTCCCTAGCTTGTTGTCCATTCTTTCCAAAAATCGGGGCTTTTTAAAAACCCCACAGGACGCAGGACAAATTGTTAAAAATCGGGACTGTTCTGCCAAAAGCAGGACGTCTGGTCACCTTACTCTAGAGAGGGGGAGGCTACTTGTTTGTTCCAGGCAGTTTGGCTCCTGAGCTAATTGTCTTTGCCTAGAAGCAAGGGACGGAGCCAGTCTCCTTCTGATACCTTGCCCAGGAGGGGAGTAGGGAGTTTACATTAGCCTTTTCATTTCCAAAAGAAGTTACATTAACCTCTTCATTCCCAAATGGAGTTACATTAAACTTTTCAGCAGCTGAAAACCATATATTCCCTTCCCATTCTCCCGCTGTTCCCTGGCTTGTCATGCATTCTTTCCAAAAATCGGGGCTTTTTAAAAACACCGCAGGACGTGGGACAAATTGTTAAAAATTGAGACTGTCCCGCCAAAAGGGGGATGTCTGGTCACCTTATCTTAGATGTTCAGCGCTCAGCTTTGGGGCACCGTTTGCGTCCTTCTTTAATCATCTTTATTCGGAAGGCTGCCGCAGAAAGACTATGACTCATGGGCTGTGTTCCTGTGTCTTGGGCTCAGGAATTAATTTGGTTACTGACAAATACACGCACAAAAGGATGTTTATATTCAGTACTAATATTCGTGTTGTAGCAAATCTGACAATATTCGCAGACATATAAATTCATAATTCCATCACCATGGAATATGAAGTAGTGATACAGGACAAGTGACATCCTAGCCAGCTCATGAAGTTGGTGGGCACAGACTGGCTGCCTCCACCTTGGCAATGTTGGTGCAGTGGCAGCAAGCAGAAGAACCAGCAGGCTGGAGGGTGGGCAGGGGGTCCCCATTTCGGCCTGAGCATAAAAGGGATTGTAGCCATTTGCAACCCAGACAGATATCCCAGACATGCTACATGTAACATGTTGTTCCAGACAGACAGACGTTACAGATACAACATGTTGTTCCAGACAGACAGATAGACAAACAGACTTCACAGACACGCTAATTGTAACTACCTAGCCCCACTAAAGATAGCTATTGAGGGCCCCATGCAACTATATATACCCCTAGACAAAGAGCCTACAGACAGACAGAAAGGGAGAGAGAGCACTTTTCTCTCCTGACTCCAGTTTTCTGTCTGCCAGGAGCTCTGGCACTTCTGTATTCTTTTCTGTAAATAAATCCTGTCTTATCACGCTCTGTGGTCTGCGGATTCATTCTTTGAATCACTGAGACCAAGAACCTACCAAAGAGCAAAATTCTGATATCGGTAGTATTGATGTTTTGATGTAAATACATATAAGTGTTTATTTCAAAAGTAGTGCATATTTTGATGTAAGGAGAAAATATTAAATCCCCCCCCAAAAAAAAATTTTTTTAGAAACAGTTTCACTTTGTCACCTTGGGTAGAGTGCTGTGGCGTCACACAGCTCACAGCAACCTCCAGCTCTTAGGCTTAGGGGATTCTCTTGCTGCAGCCTCCCGAGTAGCTGGGACTACGGGTGCCCATGCCAGTCTTTTTTTTTTTTTTTTTAATTTT